GGATGACATGGATGACATGGATGGACATGGATGACATGGATGACATGGATGAACATGGATGGACATGGATGGACATGGATGACATGGATGGACATGGATGGGCATGGATGACATGGATGGACATGGATGGACATGGATGGACATGGATGACATGGATGACATGGATGACATGGATGGACATGGATGACATGGATGAACATGGATGGACATGGATGGACATGGATGAACATGGATGACATGGATGGACATGGATGGACATGGATGAACATGGATGACATGGATGGACATGGATGGACATGGATGACATGGATGGACATGGATGGACATGGATGACATGGATGGACATGGATGGACATGGATGAACATGGATGAAATGGATGACATGGATGGACATGGATGGACATGGATGGACATGGATGAACATGGATGACATGGATGACATAGATGGACATGGATGGACATGGATGGACATGGATGACATGGATGGACATGGATGAACATGGATGACATGGATGAACATGGATGGACATGGATGGACATGGATGAACATGGATGACATGGATGAACATGGATGGACATGGATGAACATGGATGACATGGATGGACATGGATGGACATGGATGAACATGGATGACATGGATGGACATGGATGGACATGGATGAACATGGATGACATGGATGGACATGGATGGACATGGATGAACATGGATGACATGGATGGACATGGATGGACATGGATGACATGGATGACATGGATGGACATGGATGGACATGGATGAACATGGATGGACATGGATGGACATGGATGGACATGGATGAACATGGATGACATGGATGACATAGATGGACATGGATGGACATGGATGGACATGGATGACATGGATGGACATGGATGACATGGATGGACATGGATGGACATGGATGGACATGGATGAACATGGATGACATGGATGACATGGATGGACATAGATGGACATGGATGGACATGGATGGACATGGATGAACATGGATGACATGGATGGACATGGATGGACATGGATGGACATGGATGAACATGGATGACATGGATGACATGGATGGACATAGATGGACATGGATGGACATGGATGAACATGGATGACATGGATGACATGGATGGACATAGATGGACATGGATGGACATGAATGGACATGGATGGACATGAATGGACATGGATGAACATGGATGGACATGGATGGACATGGATGACATGGATGACATGGATGGACATAGATGGACATGGATGGACATGGATGAACATGGATGACATGGATGACATGGATGGACATAGATGGACATGGATGGACATGAATGGACATGGATGGACATGAATGGACATGGATGAACATGGATGGACATGGATGGACATGGATGACATGGATGACATGGATGGACATAGATGGACATGGATGGACATGGATGAACATGGATGACATGGATGACATGGATGGACATAGATGGACATGGATGGACATGAATGGACATGGATGGACATGAATGGACATGGATGAACATGAATGGACATGGATGAACATGGATGGACATGTTTAATGATTATAAATATGTAGTTCTGTAGTTCGGAGTAACAGACCTGCAGGCTCCTCGGATGAGTAAGAAGCCGTGAAGCCTCCATTGGACACAGAAGCATCGGTGCGGAACACAACCGTCATGGTGTTGCCGGAGGAGCGCACCTGTGTGCCTGCTGGTACTGTACCACAGAATTTCTGCAAGCGAGGGGCATCAACTGCCAACCCGTTCAGTATCTGTAAGACACAGAGGTTACCATGGAGACACAGGGGACACTGAGCCTGTAGCAACATTCTCAGGAGTAGGTCCTCCTGGGGAGTTAAGGCCTTGGCACACTGAATCCAAAACAAATCATTGTGCACAGAAACCCTGCACAGCGATACCTTCTATTGATGTAGACGTTGTGAAAAATCACAAAATAAAAAGACACATTTCCTCCTCTGCCACCACCACATTGTCTTCACTGATTTTTGTCCTGTGAAGGATCTGACGGATGCGAAAAACACCAAAAATCGAAGCTGTGCCGAAATTTTTTTTTAAAGTTTCAGACTCAGTGTGCAAATGTGACACAACGTGAAGTCGTATTTATTTTTAGACGTGCGATAATTTGAGACAGAAAAAGTGTGCAAAGGCCAAAGTGTTCTGAGTGTGGGCATCCATGAGGGGAAACGTACAGAACCATAAGATGCATTATGAGTGAGGACAAACAGTCATGATAATGTACGACACTATGGGATATCAAACGACGGCTTTAACTGATAACTCCTCATAAAGCATCAGCAGGTCACTGATGATGGAGATCAGACATCGTATCATTCAGTTACCTCAAATAAAAGCTTGAAATATGAACTCTTTAAAACATCATGTTTCTGTGGTCAATGATATGATATATATAGAATATATATTCCTGCCTCAAGGCACTCTTAGTTACTTACAGCACAGCTACACTCACAGATAACTGAGCCTCCTACCTGCCTGTCAAACACCATCAACCCACAAACCTTCTCCAGTCCGGACTGAGTGGAGTCCTGCGGGGTGAAGCTGTGAAGGCTGCGAGCGGAGCTAGCTGCTAACAGCCACCGCTGCAACTATCAAACTCCACAAATCCATTCAGCAGCTCCACCATCCACAGTCAGACACACACGGCTGATTATTTACTGCTGAATTACAGCTCACAACTCGCACCAACCCAAACATCCTGGTGCAGACTATTTACTGGAGTTTACAGCCTGTCGCTCATCAGGCATCTGAAGATCATTACAAGCACAGGCATTCATGGCTTTCAGCGTTCAATAATCCACCACTAACATTTCAACAGAAATGAAATAGATTTTGTCTTAGTTTTTACTATCAAGATCTATTTTTAGCTCGTAATCTTCTCGGCATAGTAAAAAGGTCACTGACGAAAACTTTTCTTCACAGTATGATAAGCTTGAAAAAATATATAAATACAAACTGAATAATGGTTTCACCAACTACATTGTGGTTGACATGCTAAACTGTAAATAGTGGAGCGATGAAAAGGACTCACCTCAACGTAGTCATATGCACAGGAACTCCCAGAATCTTCCAGCCGCAGGTCATTGATGGTGAGTGTGACCCTGCGGCCTGGTGACACCACCAGCTCCCAGCGACACACCCGGCTGTGTGGGTACAGGTTGGGGTAATTGGGGGAGGAGATAGTTCCTGAGGGAGCATCCAGCTCTCCTCCACAGACTGCCGTGGGAGGAAAAGTTAAAAGAGATGAGGTATAACATTCTGTGACTGAATACATGTTCAACATTTATGTATATGAAAGTGAATATGAGGCACTTAAATCTGACTCCCTTAAGACTGTTGACTTCTATCAATCGATCGACCTGTCCCAAGTTTCACTTTAGTTATTAAACAGAACAAAATTGTGAAAATACCATGTTTTAGTGGTACTGTAGCGCCCCCTGTGGGTAGGATTCTATTACATTTCATGTACTTGTGCAAGGTGGCTCTGTGTACAACAGTTCCAAATTTGATTCCAATCCATTTTAGTGAGTTATGGTCATGAATGTGCATCAGGCCACACCTTCAAAGGTTTGGTAACCAACTGCGGACAAACGGTATGTGATTCACATAAAGAAACTCATGATTTTATTCAAGGTCATCTGAAGACAATCTTTAAAAGTTTGATTAAGAGTATGACAAATATGTGCCAAGAAATGCAAAAATCTAACTTTAATTAATTGTATGAAATGTTTTGGACTTGTTCAGCTTTCCCTTCTGTACAACTTTGCTGAGTTCTGTCACCATGGACTGTCACATTATGTGGCAGTTAAGAAGTAGTAAGGTGGGTTTTCACTAATGGCCACAGGGTGCGCTATTGAGGTGATCCTCCAATTAGTGTACAACCTGCTCTAACTTCTGAGCCACAACCACACGTGTCACATATGTCATTGTAACCCAAATTAAACTGACCAGGTAAGTAAATTCTGGTGATCCCACACTGGTCACTAGAGGGGGCTTTAACAGCGTAAAGCTGGTGGTTCCAACTACTTAGCAGTAGTGATGGCCAAATGAAGCCTCATAAAGCATGCTCTTTATTTTCTGAGCCCACTAGATGGCGCTCATGGTTTAAAGATTGAGGCTCAAAGAATGGCAATTCAGTGTGCTTTCAACCTTTTGTCAAACAAAAAGCGCCATCTAGTGGGCTCAGAAAATAAAGTAAGTGCTTCACATCAATGTTATGCAGTTTGTGCAACAATTCTTGTCCAGTATCTTGAAAATGACCGTACCTTCAACGCTGGCTTCAAACGAGAGACTGAAGCCAGCTGCATTACTGCTGGCGTCACTGACAAACCTGACGTAGGCAAAACTGTCAGACGTGTCCACAGAAGCTGGAAGGTTACTGCTGCAGTGCCGGCCCAGGAGGCGCCCTACAACCACAGCACAACACAGGAAATGTATCTGATAATGTTGGCTAACTCTGCAGTCCTTTCCTCCCTCCAGACATATAAACTTTTGCTGGAAAAATAAATGTACAGTATCACTGGTGATGATGTGATGCCACTTAAGACACACGGGTAGATGTGTTCATTCTGAGTGGGGAGTGATCTTCAGTGACTTTGGAGTATTTTTTACATCACGTTTACTCACCACAAACAGCCAATGCACCAGTAACACTGACATAAGCGAGCTAGCAGCACACAGATGGGATGAGTGACTGATGAGTGCAACTTTTGCAAGATGCATCACTGTGAAGTGACTTAAAACACCCAGGCCTGCTTTTATTGTAGAATCTGGTGGTGGCTCTGAAGACACAAAACGATGCTGAAAAGAGCCTCTGGTTGTCTTACCCGAGGCGTTGTACTCTCTGATCTCTACATAGTCAGCGGAGCATCCTGAAGTGGTCTGCAGGCTGAAGTTGGTGTAGCTGAGGGTGAGGTAGTGCCCCGTGGGCCCCTCCAGGTACCACTCACAACTGGATCTGTCAGGATAGTTGGATCCTGGGAAGCCAGGGCTGTGGACTGAGCCCCTCTGACCTATGTAGGTACCTCCACATGTTGCTGTGAGGAAATGAAATATAAAGTAAGAGCAGGGCCATTAGTGTTGGGCTCTTTTTCCTTTTCAAATGCTGATATGAATTCTAAACTTCATTTTCACTGCATCTTTATAACATTTTAAGGTCTGTCATGAAGGATTTAGAGGCAAAACTAAAACTTCTCCTGCCTGCTAAGTGTGTAGGAGACGTATGGTGGCAGACACAAGAACACATATAGCTCTATCTAGGTCCAGTGTTTCGTTTGTCCATCCTGGGCTTCTATAGTTAGAACATGCCGAACACCGAGGATAAGGACTCGCTCCATACGTAGATATAAACTGCTCATTCTAAGGTAATGAAAACACAGTGATTCTTCTTTTCTGGTGACTGTAAACTAATGAAGACATCGTCAAACATCATAAACCATTTCTGCAAATATCATCACCTGCGGAGCCAGAAAACTTCACAGGAGTGGGAGTAGTCAACATTTCAATTAGCTAGCTATGCTAGCAGTAGCTAGCATCTGCATATCAACTCCCCGATTGTAACGGAACATAGTGACTTCAGCCACTGCTCGTGTCAGGGTTAGTGTTTCAAGTTACATGTTTGCAAACACATCAAAGCAGAACTTCACATCGAGTGGCTTAAAGTGTTTGTGTTAGTGTACGTCTACAGGTCACCGTTATGGCCGGTATACACTGTGTGATTTTGGGCTGTCCCAGACGAAAGATGACCATCGTGGGAGACACGTGGCGATATCTTTGGTCGTGGCTCTAAAACGGTGGTCTTATGTCGCACTGTGAGACAGGTTCAAGGATGGCCGCTGTCAACGTCTTGCGACCAAAGATAACCTGAGATAAAATTCTGACGGTGTCAGAAATTTAGGATGACTATCTCACAGTGTGACAGCTGCTACGACCTACGTCTACTAATCAACCAATAGAAATGCAGCAGGAAATGACGCAATGGTCACCGATCGCTTGCCATGGAGGTAAAACGAACAAAAAGAAGTGTGTGGAACTCCCAGAAAGAGGAAAGTTTGGTGGAGCTGTGGCAGCAGAAGCCTTGTTGATTTGATGTTTCCTCCAGCTGCTATCATGACCGCCAGAAAAAAGACGCTGCATGGAAGGAAATTGAGGAGGAACTGCAACTTCCAGGTGAGCAAGCTACCTATGGTGGCGCAGATGGATGAC